GATGAAAAAATCCCTTCTTTCTCCAGTAAGAGATCGTCATCTGCCAAAACTATAAGAGAAGTCACGAATGATTGTCACATGCATTGATATTATGTGAGTGATTAAGTTATTTTTTTCTCATTCTATTCGGTTGCTTTTATTCTTTTCATGCTGAATAATTTTAGGCCTCAAATTGTTGTTTGTGATGAATGTTAGTGCTTCACTTTCCAAAAAGGTCCTCTGTTTTCCTCTTTTATTCTGCATTTTGTTTCCTTTGCTGTTTAATTTCAGGATTGATCTCTCAAGTTATTAGTCATCTCTAAATTGGTTGTCTCTAATACAATTAAAATATACTTAATTAGCCACATCAGGGTAATCAACCATATCATTATAGATACCTAAATCAAATGGTTCATTGTCTACTTTGCAGTTTTCAGTTGAGAATTGGAGACATTCAATTACATTCCGCTATAAGCAGAAAAGTTAAGAGAGTAATGTTCAACGAAGACATGACTTCCTTTGACTCTACGAACAACAACGCTAACTGATTGGCAAACAATCCCACAAAATGACTACTATGCATGCATAGTATATCACCTTTCAATATTAGTTATATATTTGGGAACTTCTAATCCTTTCATCGTGCTTTATGGTTATCAACATTAGATGTTGAGTTTATACACTCGGACAAATTAGACACTTCAATGTTGATAAACTTTAGTAAAGGTGTTTATATTTATTCTAATCTTTGTATACCTATGGTTGTTTATTCATAAAGATAGTATGGTCGTCTATATTTCATGGCTACATGAAGTGAAATCCTGTTATTGAAACCATAAAAAAAACTCCATTAATTTGTAATCCAACGACCCAGACAACAAGTTGCCACACAAGAAAGTGAATCCAAAATAAAACTAATCACGCGACGACATAGACTATCTTAGAAATAATAAAGAAAAATACGAAATAAAAACAAAACATGAATATTTAACCCGGCCAAGGGCCGGGCACAAAGCTAGTAAAAAAGGGTGCTATTTCTGTCAATTTTTTCGGATGAATGCCAGTTTTGTAATTTTTTTTAAAAGGTGCTATTCCTGGAAAAAATCCCCTGCTCCTTCCTTCTGTTTTTTTCTTTTCTCAGCCTCAAAATCGATGACGCTCCATATTGTCAAAGAGGGGACAGATCTAGGTGAGTTGAGTTTGCATCTTTTGTGTTTTAGTATTTGTTTGTGAATTAATTCCGATCTTCTTCCTCTTTTTCTTTCTTTTTGCATTTGGTGTTCTTGATTGCGGAGGAGTAAATGAGAGGAGACAGAAGACGAGTTTTTTTTTCTCTTCCTCCTTCTGTTTCCCCTTCTTTGAGAATATATATTGATATTACCACACTATACCATATGGTAATGTGTGCTAACTAAATGTATTTTTATATTCACGAGTTTTATCATGGTGGTAGTGGGTGGTAATCGACACCAGTTATGAGAAAGAAGAGTTAGAAGACAATGAAGGGAGAGAAGAAAGTGAAAAAATTCGTAATTGTATATATATATATATTGAGATTACCACACTATACCATATGGTTATGTGTCTATACCATATGGTAATGTGTGGTAACGAAATATATTTTTATGAATATCATGTTTTTACTATGGTCGTAGAGGGTTGTAATTAGATTTACATGGTTTTACCTTCTCATATCATGTGGTATTATATGGTAATTATAATTAATTTGTGGTCCTTTGATTTACCATGTTCTACTATGGTGGTATTGTATGCTAGTTAGATTTATAATTTTCTGTAGCGTGGTTTACCAAGTTATACCATGTGGTGGTAGTTTGATTTGTAATTTTATTTTAGCATGTTATACCATATGGTATGGTAATTAGATTTGTAAATTTTTGTAGCATGTTTTACCACGTTATACCATGTGGTATTGTATGGTAGTTAGATTTTTAATTTTCTTCAACATATTTTACCATGTTTTACCACGTTTTACCATGTGGTATTGTATGGTAGTTAGAATTGTAATTTTCTTCAACATATTTTATCATGTTTTACCATGTTTTACCATGATAGTAGAAAGTGATAATCATATTTATACTTGTAATTAGTGTCTTTAACACTGTATTATTTAACGAAAAAATCATCATTCAATTTGAGCTGGAATTAGTTTAGAGATAGTTAGGATGGTTAGATTCATTTTTGTTGTAGATGGGAGAGAGAAGAAATAATGTATTTTTTCTTTTTATAATAAAATAAAACAAAGAGTGAGAGAGAGGGGAACCAGACAACCAGTGTGGGGTGGAGGAGTAGGATCCGCATCTGGTAAAAAATTCAGCGTCAGCACGTCTGCGTCAGCGTCATCATTAAATAGGGGTGCAATTTACTTTATTGCCTGTCCGTGTTTAATTTAAATAAAAGAAAAAAACTGACACGTAGAGAGTAGGTACAGATGATTGGATTACTGACAGTTACTAATAGCAAGTATACTAAGTTAATTTGGTAGTTATTTCTCGTTTCCTAGCGAAAAAAGGCACTATTCATGAACTAGCTTTGTGCCCGGCCCTTGGCCGGGTTAAATATTCATGTTTTATTTTTATTTCGTATTTTTCTTTATTATTTCTAAGATAGTCTATGTCGTCGCGTGATTAGTTTTATTTTGGATTCACTTTCTTGTGTGACAACTTGTTGTCTGGGTCGTTGGATTACAAATTAATGGAGTTTTTTTTATGGTTTCAATAACAGGATTTCACTTCATGAAGCCATGAAATATAGACGACCATACTATCTTTATGAATAAACAACCATAGGTATACAAAGATTAGAATAAATATAAACACCTTTACTAAAGTTTATCAACATTGAAGTGTCTAATTTGTCCGAGTGTATAAACTCAACATCTAATGTTGATAACCATAAAGCACGATGAAAGGATTAGAAGTTCCCAAATATATAACTAATATTGAAAGGTGATATACTATGCATGCATAGTAGTCATTTTGTGGGATTGTTTGCCAATCAGTTAGCGTTGTTGTTCGTAGAGTCAAAGGAAGTCATGTCTTCGTTGAACATTACTCTCTTAACTTTTCTGCTTATAGCGGAATGTAATTGAATGTCTCCAATTCTCAACTGAAAACTGCAAAGTAGACAATGAACCATTTGATTTAGGTATCTATAATGATATGGTTGATTACCCTGATGTGGCTAATTAAGTATATTTTAATTGTATTAGAGACAACCAATTTAGAGATGACTAATAACTTGAGAGATCAATCCTGAAATTAAACAGCAAAGGAAACAAAATGCAGAATAAAAGAGGAAAACAGAGGACCTTTTTGGAAAGTGAAGCACTAACATTCATCACAAACAACAATTTGAGGCCTAAAATTATTCAGCATGAAAAGAATAAAAGCAACCGAATAGAATGAGAAAAAAATAACTTAATCACTCACATAATATCAATGCATGTGACAATCATTCGTGACTTCTCTTATAGTTTTGGCAGATGACGATCTCTTACTGGAGAAAGAAGGGATTTTTTCATCTGCATGAAGGCAAAAATTACCAATCTTGCTTCTCATCCGTGAATCACACTTCCATCGTATATATTGTGATTTTGAAACATCAATTGGCCTATGATTACCGGAGAAGTATGTTACTATTTGGAACTTGGAATCGAGTATGACAAAGCATCTTGTCCGAAGAACCCCAAAGATGGAGGAAGGAGAACATATACACAAACCGATTGAGAGCAGAGACACAAACAGAGAGCCGTGACTATATAAATAGGATCGCCTCTGAGTGGACTCAAGATTGCTTGTTGTTTTGATTTGGGGTGTTGTAGAAGGCTCGAAGTATTGGTAGCGAAGGATGCGTTGCGTCGACGGTGAAGTTGCTTCTTCCAGGCTTTGTTGCGGCCTCGTGGGGATGAAAAAGGTTGGAGATTAGAGAAGGAACTGCCGACGCGGTTGTGACTTGTGAAGTCAAGAGGTTAAATAAACTGGCTGGATTTTTTTTCCCCGGAGAGAGGATTTATATAGCGTTGACGTGGACAGGCTAACTTTTGAGGAGGGCTTACGTGGATAAGGGCCAATTCTCAAACTGCTTTAATATTTTGTAAGATATGAATGAGATTCCGGATTCAATTTACAAAAAACTGCAACTCTCCGCCCTTTTCCTCCGTGCTACAAAACACGTCGTTTTGCCCCACCGTTTTACCCACCCTAACCCTTGAAACCTCTCGCTTGCTCGGCCGGCAGCCCCGCCCCATCATCTTTACCGCCATCATCGTTTCTCCATCGCCAGCCCCGGGCCGCCGTCATCTGCCCAGAATACCACCCCATCATCTTCCTCTCATCCCCGCGACGCCATCATCTTTTCTTCCTCTCTATCTCTATTATTTCCTTCATTTTCTTTCCCTCTACTTCTCCTACCTCTCTCTCTTTTGGATTCCTTCTTCGCCGTTGCTACTCGCCGTCGCTACTCGCCGTCGCAGTTGCAGCATACCGTATAGTTGCTGCCGCGGTCGCCGCTGTTACTCCTCAGTAATTTATCCAAGGTATGTCGATGCTCTAACTTCTGGGTTCCCAGCCAGTTTTGCAAATTTGATTTGCGAATTTAAAGCTTAGTTGCGCTTCTAAATATGGAGAGGTTGTGGCTTGTGAGTTGGAATAAAGAAAAGCCGTTGTTGGACATTATACATGTATGTTGTAGCTGCCAGTCTTCTGCTGTCGCTTTTTGGTCATATGCTGCTTTGGTTGAAAATATAATCATGCGTTTCTACATCCCCTTGCTTAAACCCTAGTTCACTATAAACCCTAATGTTGTCCAGGAAGGAACAAGCTTCCTAACGTGGGAGGAACCAGGGGAAGACCCTGTAGTTAAAGGTGTGTGCATAGCTGGGGAGTTAGTAAGAGAGGGGGCGGTTTTGTTCGTTGAATTTGGAATTTGGATTCAGCTCACATCGAGCTTCATGATGAAAATGTTTTTCTTGTTTACAGTAATGTTTTGTTTTCATTTCAGCCATGATGGAAGGAGGCGGTCTTGAGTTTGAAGAAGTTAAAAAAGAAACGTTGGTTGAACTGCCTGAAATGGCGTTGGGAGCAAACCATGAAGCTAAGCTCAGGGAACTGTTACATAAGATAAATTCCATTGAGATTAAGTTGTGTTCTGATGCTACGAAGGAGTTCATTAAATTACTGAAGAGTGATATCGGTGGGGAATTCCTTCTCCAATATGTGCATTTGTCTGCTAATCTTTCTGAACTCATGGGAGCTTGGAATCTTCAACAGGGGAAGCCTGGAATGTCATATATATTGTCTTTAATTTCTGCAATTCTCGGTCACCCAGAAGGGAAATATCAACCAGACATGAAGGGGAGAGTGGCTATCAGTGGTGTTCTTGATAGGTTTGCTCGAACGCTTATAGAAGAGAAGCTTGATATTATTTGTAAGGAACTGAATGGCAAAGAAGCGAAGCACCAAAATGCTGCTCTGTTGCTGCTGGCTTCTATTGTTAGGCGTGGGTCAGGTCTAGCTTCTGATGTTGCTAAGAATTTTGACTTCAAGCTCCTGTCATTTGTGAAGCTTGCAGAATACAAGAAGAAGCGACATGACCAGAAAAGGAAGCATTCTACTAGAAAGGCTTTTGTTGGATTTGGAATGTCATTTTTGGAGGTTGGGAAACCAGGGTTGCTGAGGTGGGTCTTGCAGCAGAAGGAGATGTATTCTGGTATCCTTCGTGGCCTTGGTAATGATGATGATGAGACTGTTATCTATGTTTTATCCACGTTGCAGAATAGGATTCTCACAGAGGAGTCGCTTATACCCCCAGCTCTTAGAAGTGTGCTTTTTGGAAGCGTTACTTTAGAACAGTTGGTGGGCATTTCAGGAAGGGAGACTGGAGGGTCTCCTGCAGATTTGGCACATAATGTGCTACTTTTGGTTTGTACGGATCCCAGCAATGGTTTAATGCCAGATTTGAAGCGACATCCAAATCCCTTAAGGGGTAATCCGAAAAGACTCTTGGATCTCATGAAGAAACTAAAGGCAACAGAAATTGAACATCATAGAATCTTGCTTCTAGAAATTGTTAAGCGGAGGCCCTTTTTAGGTGCTGCATATATGGAGGAGATCCCTTACAACCTTGAAGATTTTGCATCACCTGCCTGGTCAGTTCTGAAATTTATTATTTCTCTTTTATAGGTTCTTCTTTTTCTCTTTCTATTATTGTGCATCAAAACTGAAATGCTTGCAGGTTTAATACGATTTCTCTGGCAGCAAATCTGGTGTCCTCAGTTAGTTGCAATCATCCTTTTTGTTTCATTGATCATTCATCAGAAGTTCCACCCTCTTCCAATAATGTGGATGTGCAGAGAATCATCCCTTTCATATCTCCTCGATCATTTGGTCGGTCAGTTGTGAACAAAGGTTTACTGCACTCTGATTTTCTGGTGAAGAATGGAACTTTAAGATTTGTTTTGGAGGCACTGAAGTTGTTGGATTCTTTCTTGAGGGATTTTAGTCTCTCTGATTTCGCAAAGCAAAGTACTGAAAAATGGGCATCTGTAAAGCATGATATACAGAATGAACTTCGTACTTTGCTACCTGATCCCCAAGTTCTTCTGACTTTACTTTCTCCTTTAAGTAGCCAGGCCAGAAGTGACGAATCAGGTTTGAAAAGGAAAAATGCAGAATTTTCTCCTGAGAATATTCTGAAAAGAAGAAAGAAATTCAGGGCCAGTGCTATCCATGGGGATGATGTAATTGTTGGTGGTATAACTTTGACTTCTGACATTGCTTTGTCCCAGAATGATGAGATTGTTGATGAACAGTCGCCTGATGAGTTAGATAGTGAAAAAGACTACATGAATACATTGTTGGAATTATGGGGTTCTGATATGTGTCTCACTGCTCCGTCAGTAAAGGATGCAGAGACATTCTTTTATGCTAAGCTGCTTGATACCCTCAAAGTTTATCTAGTAAGTTACAATTCCCCTGTTCTTTTGAGTATGGAAATACAAGTTATTTTTTATTATGAAGTCATGCTTTGGACACCGCATTGCATATAAAACACCTATATATGAATTTTCAGAATTTTAGATGAATATAGCATGCTGCAAGCTTGGATGACTGAACTGCTTCATCATGTGCTTATTTAACTAAATCATCTTAGCATGACCTTTACAGGCAGTCTGTTTGCAGATTATAGTTAAGCTCTACATGTGAATTGAATGCTTGTTCTCTCAGGCAGGGTTCGTCAGAAGGTTATTATTGTCAATAACAGCCAATATTAGTTCCGCATTTGTGAGTTTTTTCCTTTTGGTCGTGGAACTACTTGACTTCGACAACTAAGGTTAATTGATTTTGCTGTTGGAGTTGGACTGTTAGTTTGCTTGCATGAGCTGAAAAATTCACTCTTGCTGATAGATTGATTTCTGAATTTCGACCTGTTTCCATGTTCAATGGTTATGTGGAAGTACAAGGATGTGCCGTTACTCTATAGGACTTTTACTTTGGACATCCTATCTGGGTGTATTTGAGCTTGCCCCTACTTTTTGCAAACTGCTAGTTTTTCCTCTGGTTCGCACATAAAAAGTGAAAAATTATCAGCTGGTTTTCGTGTCAGCCTATTTATACTTCTGATTCATAAATTTTATCTGATGTTATACATGTTTGCCCTTTTGCAGTGGGTAATGCCTAGTGGGCTGGAGACTTCATTTGACTTCTTTATGAATATTCTCAGTAATTCTTTGGCTTTGCCAACAACTCTTCAGTGTTCCCTACTTGCCCTTCTAGTCGAGTATGTTACATGGGACACAAGTAGCGGATTTCCAATTTCAGCTCCATCTTTGATGTACAAGCATCTCCAGCCATTTATTAGTTTGTTGATCTTTTCACCAATATATGATGTAAAAGTTCATGCTTACAAGCTAGCGCAAGCTGCTATGTTCAGTACTGGAGCTTTTGACCGAAATGTGAATGAAATTGTTTCGTGGTTCTTATTTTTACCTGGGTTCACCATGGAACGATCTCCTGGCTTTGAAGGACTGGAAGTAGTCCAGAGCTTGTCACAAGCAGTTATATCATTTGTGTGTGATGCAACATCTACAGTTGGGAATAGTCTATTCAGGCATTGGGATGTTCTTAGAAACCACATTGACCAACTGAGAGAATTTAAAGGTGATTGCCATAATATCTTTTCACCTTTGGCTCATTCTCTCTAATGCTGGGTTTACATCCTTAGCACACCTATGCCATTTCCTTGTGATTGCTATAATTTCAATGCTGCATTCGGGTGGAACTTTTGTTTTATGTATATGATTTGTCACTTCCAGATTTGGCCTCGTAATAGGGTTCGAATTTGTTAGATTTGAAACCTGAATGGTAGTTGCTACCTATGATTTTTTCAATGTACGGTCTGTTTACTGGCTCTTTTTAGTACTGTGAAAGTTTTTTTTGTTTGTTTGTGGTACCAGTCTATTTCCTTTCTTCTTCTGGCATTCATTACGAGTTTTCTTTTGCAGATTTATCACCAGATTTCAGCCCGCTCAGTATCTGTGTGCTGCAAAAGTCTATGAGGTTACTCAGCTCCGAGTCTGTAATATTTTCATTACCTGAAAAGTCAATGATATCAATATACGTGTACAACATTCTGAAGTACCTGCTCCAAACTCAGGTAAACAATTTCTGCTCGTTAGCTTATAGCTTCACCTCCTTTTTTGTGGCTTGATTAGAGAAGTAATTGATTACAGGTAGATGCTGGCCTGCTAGCTTCTTTGATAAGGTCTGTTTTGACAGAGAGGCTTCAGGAGTGTGGCCCGTTGCTTCGCGATTCTATAGATTCCTTATCGGAATGGGTGCCTCTGAAGAATCTATTGCTCTTTGCAGGAGGTATATTGCAGAAAAGTATTTGCTGCTATGGAACCATTAGTGATACTGATATTCCCACTGATATTTCTTTTGAAAGAACAATTGGTGAAGTGAAAAAATGTGTCGAAAGTGGACTGCAGATTGAAAGAACAGGATTGACCAAAGCTTTTCTTGCTGCTGTTATTTGCGCACCCCCTGCGGAGTTGCTTTTGCATTTTCCATCAATTATGGCAATCTTGCAGGACCTTCAAGTTCCTCCCATGTTCTTGGCCTCGATAGTTTTTCTTGAGCCATTTTTCATGTCTGGCATGTTGAAGTTATGGCCTAAAATCTTTTTTTATGGTTTGGATCTGGCCGTCTCTGCAGTCAGCTCTAATAACACAACTGAGCAATCATTGGTTGAAGAAATGGTTCCTAACATTGACGCGGATTCTGAGTATGCATCTGCCGCTTGTACATTTGCCAATCTTCTGAGGCAGGCACCCTTTCATGTTCTTTTTGCTGCTACTATAAACTTTGATGCCCACCATTTGTCAGAATCTTCAAAATTAGTACAGTTGCTTTGCTCTAAACTATCAGCTAGAGTAAGTGACTCCAGAATTTCCCAGCTCCGGCTTCTATTGTTTTGGTTCAATCAAATAAGGTCTTCGTATGCTGTTAAACCATTAGCTGAGTATGAGCAACGCTCTAAAGTTTGTCATATTCTTATAGAGCATTTGCTTAGTAATTTATTGGCTTCAGAGTCGCATTCCGAATGCTGCATAGATTCAGTGATTCTTCCGGAAGTGGAAGCGGGAGAAGTTGCAAACACTGTCCTCTGTCATCCTGTCGTATTTGCATTACTGCTCAGACCTTTGAGTTGCAACAATGAGTGTAGCACAGGAGACTCCTCTATTAGGACATTTGATGACAGTTTTGATGCACTCCTTGGCTTTTGTGGGGACAAAATTCATAAAATTGACAAGTACATCCTGAAGTTGGTGATGACAACGGTGGATAATTTATTTGCTGTATCTAATGGCGGACAACTCATTCTCAATGATGTTGATAGTAAGAGACTTGAAAAGGCACTTAACAACCTGGTGCAAACACTCTATCATGAATTGAGGGAAAAGCTTAATCTCTGCATTCAAACTGAGGACTGGGTATATCTTGTGCCATCATTTTATGTCTGCCATGCTTTAGCTAGAATTCTGTCCCCTTTTGAACTTCTTGAGTTGGTGAGCTGGGTACTCGGTAAGCTGAAGATGGGAAGCTCGGTTCGTCATATTGGCTACAGAAAATCTACACTTCATATTGTATTTTGTCTTGCAGCTGATGCTTTTGAAACTCTGGCAACTTATTTGCAGCAGGGTGTAACAGAGGGGGCACCAATTCATGGGACGTGGGAGCTTCAGGAAAAATGTTTCGACTCTGGCCTTATTGAGGAAATCTATGTTCAAGTGTGTAAATATGCAACTGAGTATGAACTGGATTCTGCATATATATTTTTGCTGAAAGCTATTAGTGCGGTTCACAGGCAGAAACATATGCAACATGATATTGTTCATCCCTTGAGCTTGGTCCTGACAAGGATTGTACATGGTACACCTATAGAAGTAATTTATCACTGTGTGTCTAGGACAAGCAGGGACAAAGCTAAATTGTTGTCTCTTCTTGTTGAGATTAGTCCCTTGTATTCATCAGTGTTTGGGCATTTTCTTTTAGGGGTTCTGAACAAAGAATCACGCCTCCATGACAAGGTGGTACATGACACCTGCTCAACTATTGCAGAGGAAAGCTACTTGAGGTTGTTGCCTGCTTCTTTGTCCTATTTAAATTCAGTTTCCGTGAGATTCCAAAAGCAGTACTGCAAGCAAGTTTCTAATGTATCAGCTTATTACACGAGATTGTTGCTAAATGGTTTTAGTGGCTGGAAGAACTTTGTATGCAGACCTGAGTTTCAGGAAAGTTTTGATGAGGTATTCCCGTGTTCTGTTGAAGAGCTCTTTAATCTTGTAAACAACAGTGTTCTTGGAAAGTCGATTTGTATGTTACGTTATCACTGCATGTTAAATGGTCATATGAAACAGCAGGAGAGGTTGAAGCTGTTTAAAACTGTTTGCAAGAGTTCTGAGACGCTCGATAGGCTGCTAGACTGCGACATTCATGAAATTGAACTTTACTCAGTTGGTGAGTCGCTGAATCTTATTAATAGAGTTTTAGGCAAGATATCCTTTTCCTCACTGTTGCTATTTCCCAAGGACGATCAGGTTGTGTCTTTGGCCAAAGAGTCAAATGGGAATGCCAAAGAGGTTTCTCTGGAAAAGTTCTATGAGAAGGAGAGTAAGGCAAGAATAAAGTTTATGGGTATGCTGGTTGGTACTTGGTGTCGCATGGTAAAAAAATTCCCGCCTTCGGCAGATGTTTCTGAGAAAGAAAGGCCAAAAAATTGTCTGCTGTTATACAGATTCTTAGAGATTTGCATTTTGAGGACTATCCTTCAATTAACCATGGAGATGAATGGTGTTCTTATTCAGTTAGAATCCATTCCATTCCTTGATAAATTGAGTGAATCGGCTCTTCTCCATAGGTTTCAGGATCCATTAACATTGAAGGTGCTGAGAAGTATTTTAGCTTCATTATCGACCGGGAGATTTTCGTGCTCTTCGTATCTACAGCGGTTGCTTTCTCACTCTCAGTTCGGTCCTATAATTCAGAGTTGCACTGAATTGTTTACCTCTCAAGTTGGCACTTTCTTTAAACCTATGTCCAGTATCCTAAGATCTGTTGGAGTCCCTCTCTCAAATTTGAAAAATGAGCTGCAACAAAGCACCATGTACTCGAGGCGATTAGAAATTGTGAAGTTGCTCAGAGTTCTTATTCTGTTGCACCTTCGTCAGTGTGGTTCTGGAGGGGAGATTTGCATAAATCTGAAAGATCTATATCTATTGCTTTTGTCCTCTTATGGTGCAACGGTTTGTGAGGTTGACTTGGAGATCCACAGCCTAATGCGCAAGATTCGGACTGTTGAAGAATCCGTCTGTGTAGATGCTGCTAAAAGGCATTACCTGTGGGGAAGATCTGCTTTGGGAATGAGAAAAGTGGTGGCTGTGGACAAGGATCCATCTCCTGTTGGCACAGCTGATACTGAAGCAGTTGAGGAACACCAGAGGAATTATTACAGGGAAAACTTTCCGATTGACCCCAGGATATGTGCGGCAACAGTATTGCACTTTCCTTATCAGAGAACTGAGACTGATGAACCTTTAAAATTGGACGACTCTCAAAGTTCCAGTTTTGAAATGTATAAGGTGTGCTGTTTACTACCACTTTCACGTTCTTTTTTGCTTCTCCAAATATAATGGCTTTCTGTGGAGCAAGCTATTAACTTTTGCCTCACTATGTGCAGAGTGAAGGATCTGGTGCTGATGATGTGCAGCGATATGATCCTGTTTTCGTCTTAGAATTCTCAGTTCATACTTTGTCCATTGGGTATATTGATCCTATTGAGTTTGCTGGTCTGGGCTTACTTGCAGTTGCTTTTGTCAGCATATCCTCTCCTGATGTTGGGCTGAGGAAACTGGGATATGAGACTCTTGGAAGATATAAGACTGCACTTGAGGTTTGTCTTTTTTTGTCACTTTCAGCTTCTGAACTTTGTGCTTTCCTGGGTTTACGCAGGCATGTTTTTTTGCATCTATTCTACCTGTATAATCTTAGTCATATATACTGGAAATTCGATTAGATTTTAGTTGGTTCTGTCTGTACTAATGGTTAGTGCCCATGAGATGGCCAATTATCAGGATATCTTTGTTATTGACAATCATAATTATTATTCAACCAGAATCATTTTGCCATTGTATACTCTTGGAAGATATCTTGTCTTTGCTTGAATCTTGAAAGTCTTGACTTATCCTAGTTAGGTACCCCCTGATGAGACATGATATCTTTGTTATTGACAATCATAATTATTATTCAACCAGAATCATTTTGGGCCTGGTTCTCTTAATGCAAAATTCCTGTTCCCCCATATGACACATTAGTAATATGTCATGAGTAGGCCTAACCATGCAGCTTGGAATCATAATCACTTGGTTGCCACAAGAACTCTTAAGAAATGGCCAGTTTAACTTGTATGCTCTTGATATTAACAGATAAATTTGAAGATCTGTTCTAGGTGTTCTGATATTTAGTGAGGACCATGTTTTCTCTGGTTTAATGATGCACAAAAGCGGAAATTGATAATGAGACGGCCAATTATCAGTACTTTTTGTTGCTGGTCTCATTTGTGCAATTTCTACTTTCGATTGAGTTCTTACATATAATGATTGCAGATATGCAAAAGGAAAAAGGAGACGATGGGTCTGCGCCTTTTGATGTCGTACATACAAAATGCAATAGAGGAACCTTGGCAGAGAATTCCTTCCGTTATTAGCCTCTTTGCTGCAGAATCATCTTTCATATTATTGAATTCATTGAATGATCATCATAAAACCTTAATCAGCTATTTGGAGAATTCCTCTAGGGTCGATATGAAGGTACATTCTTTCAGCATCATAGTTCCTCTTCATCCTTCTTTTCCTTTGCCCATGCACCTGCTTTTTTCATGTGTTCTCATTGTTTTCTTCTAGCTTTAATTTCATTTGTCCATTCTGACATGCTGCCTATGGTTTTCTTCGGTCATTACAATTTGTTCTATTCATTTTGCAGAAGGTACCAATGGTTAGTAGTAACTCAATCCATTTCAGAGCAGAGAGGCAATGGATCCTTCGTCTCATATATGCTGGACTGAATTCAGATGAGGATGGTCAAATGTTCATGTATAATTCCATTATGAAGGAATTATTGAGTTTCTACAGTTCTCCTCATTCAGATAGTGAGTCAAAGAAACTGATTCTGCTGGTAGGGCGTACAATCTTCAGCTCTTAAATATTATCGAAGATTTACAGATTGGAATAGTTTTTTTTCATTTTTTATTCTTGGTTTGAAGCAATGTATGTTACGTTTGCTTCACCTTGTTAACTTTTGGTGTGTTGTTCATTCACCTTTTCCCGTTCTGGGTTCTTTACATTTTCTTCTTCCAAGTGTTCTGATCAGTTCAAAGTATGGATGCATATTCTTTTGTTATAACAAGTTACATGTTTTGTAGTGTCAAAGTTTTTGGATGCCAAAATAGGAACTTGTCTTGACTTGGTAGAGACAAGAAAGTCCAACTAAAGTTCATGTTGTGTCAAGATGACACTTTGCAAGCCCCTTATTCGTCAGTTATCCATTCAAGCAGAATAACTTAAGGATATATATCATACATCATTTCTGAAAGTTACTCTGATGCTTGGCTTGTAAACTTCGTTTCCTTGTTACACTGTTTCTGGTTGTTGCCATAAATCGTTGCTTCTGGTTACTGGTAAGATTTAAGCTTTCACTCTTCTGCTGCAGATTGTGAAGAAGGCTGTTAAATTGCATAAGATCACACACCATCTAGTCAAAGATTGTGGACTGCTTTCTTGGTTGTCATCTGTCCTTCCTATCTCTAGCAGGTTTCAGACTGGCTATGAAAAGAACGTGTTCTCTGAGCACTTACTGGCTATGGTAGAGGTAATGTCTGGCTTCAACTCTGATCATTTCATGAATTATATTTCCACTTGTGTCCTTCCATGAATTGTACTTCTTTATTCATAGTTTCTAATCCATTGGACTACGCTTTTCTTTTTGGTCTAGGGGGGAAAATAAGGGAGGGCCGGGGGTTGGTTTTTTTGGTTAAAGCTGACCATTTGGCTTTTTTCCGTTACATATTAAGGAGCTGTCTCCGAGGCACGAGTGCTTCAACTCATCAATTATATGTTTCAAAGAATTATTGTGAATGCAAATATTCCAGAGATTAGCACATAAGGTCTTAAACTTTTTGCCATTCATAAAGAACTAAGCATCAACTTAATCGACAAATTAATTGTCTAAAATTGTTATGCTGATTCAATATTCCAGGGTGTAATAATGTATATGGATTTGAATTTTTCTTGGCAATGACAAACTAAGTGAAATAAAATTTCCCTTTTTTTTGGTTTAGGTTACTGCCGAAATTGTTTCCTCCAGAAGCGTTGTGGAATGGTTGCAAAACTATGCACTTGAGCAGCTGATGGGACTAGCTTCTCATCTTTACAATATTTTAGTTGGTGGATTGGAATCATTGAAGGGAGATGGCCTTTTGTTAAATTCCGTTATGGAGGTATTGGTGTCAACGTTGAAGATATCACAAGAGAGGAAAACATACCAGCCTCATTTTACCTTGTCATTTGAGGGCTTAGTTCAGGTTTATCGGGCTTACAGTCAATGTGCTATTGCGACTTCTCGTGAAGCTGCTGAATTAGGACTTCAAATGATACTTATGAGCATACCTTCTCCCGATATCTTGCTCATGGTACACACTCCCCTCTCTCTCCCAGCGGTAGTTTTCTTAGACACTCAAAAAAGAACCTGCTAAAAGCAAATGCAATTTTGGAAGGCATTGCTTTCCAATTAGTATTTCTGGATTTATTTATTTTACTTGTGTGCATTGCTTGAAAACTTAGGAATACAGAATCATGGAGTCTTCTTGTGTGTTTTCTTATACACTCAAAAGAACCTGCTAAAAGCAATGCAATTTTAGAAGGCATTGCTTTCCAATTCGTATTTCTGGATTTATTTATTTTTCTTGTGTGCATTGCTTGAAAACTTAGGAATACAGAATCATGGAATCTTCTTGTGTGCACTTTCGCAGGAAGAAGCAACTTTTTCCAGGTTTCTTATGTGGGCAATATCTGTTGCCATGGCATCCGACTCTAGGAGGCGAGAGCTTGTCTCTAAAGCATCACAGGCCAGTACCCTTACCAGACCAGAGGAGGCACAATCTGAATCTGAAGAGTGTTTTCTACTAAAACTTCAACGTTGGCTTGTTGGTGCTGTGATTCTTGGAAAACTCTCCTCGACATTCCCTGATGCGAGGGGTACATTATCTGCAAGATCAACATCAAATTTGCAGTCTTTATTGGAATATATCAGGACAGGAGGGAGGAGCAGGTGCGAACTTGGTAACTCTCGAGAGATGTTAGCTGCTTCAATCCTCTACCTTCAACAGCTTCTATGCATGGACTGCTCAGCAACCCCATCAACTATATCTGCACTATGCCTTATACTTTTCAGTGGTACCTCACAAATCTCAGGTATGTGTCCCGCTGGACATTCTGGTATCGAGATCTTTATTTAAATAAATAATGTACATTGGGAGTCGAACGTTGTTCATAGTTGCTATTGAATGTGAACCAGATACTGTATCGGCCGATGAGTCACTCATGGTATCACTCTGCTCGAAAGTTCGTGTTCCACCTGAAGCCAATCCCGCTTGGAGATGGTATGTCATTCATTCTTGACCCAATTTTACCAAGTGGTCTGGCAATTTTGGAAGTACAGCCAGTAGAAGCCTTCTCTGTATGAACCAAACCTAACAAGCTCCTCTGTGTGTTATTATACTGCAACCAGGTCATACACCCAAGCATGGAAGGATGTCTCATCTGAAGAAATCGATTCGTTGATAAGGGTGGAGGAATATCATGCATGTCAGATGCTTAGCGTGATAATCGCGAATGTTGTGGGGAAGATCCCATTAGAATCACAGACTTTATCGCATCAAGACATAGAAAAGTCGGGTGTATTTGAATGGGAAAGAAGTCTAATAGAAGGCTGAAATATGATTTTGATCTGATTGTTGTGTAAAATTTTGTAGTTCAATTGTTGTCATAGGTCCCTGGAAGGATAAACTAATTTTCGTTGAGATGAAATTTTGATGGCTATATAGCTTTCTCATTTGTCGGTGTTTTAGTCCGATTTCGAGGCTAGAAACATGAAGATAGTGAAGATCATGATTCACATGCAAGTGCGCTACGTCTTTCCACTGCTGTCATACGCAAACAATTACATGCGGGCTGATTAGTTATCTTGCAGAACAAGTCACAAACTTTTGCAGCCTTCGGGTCTTTCTGCTTTTTTACAGTTAATTTGACATATGCATCGCAGTTCTCAATGATAAATGGGATCAAATGATGAAGAAATGGAAACAACCAAAGCAAAGAGGCACAATGTTGTACATGGTTTCCTCATTTGTTGTGGACGCGACTAGTTCATAGAGAGATGAAGCTTTGTTTCTGACAAGTTTGTAGCTTATAGTATAGGCAACCCTTGCTCAACATACATACAAGGGTTGCTGCAAGTTGCTGCAAACCTTACACGAAGAAGAGGGAAAATTACATGAAGGTATCTGAACTTCATAAACTGAACAATTCACCACGCCCCCCAAGTGAAAGCATGAATATCAATTATTTTGTAACTTGGAGAATCAAAATTCTTTCAGAGTTGTTGTTCCTTGTGTTGTTTCTTGGTGGGGAACCCATTCTTCTCCCAAGCTCGGTAGCCTCCACCCATATTACAAGCGTTCTTGAAACCCTGCCCAAACCAAGATAGTGATTTTCCTTCGAAAATTTTGGTTGTGATATGGAGATATATATTTTGTCATTGTTGCTTACTGCTATGTAAAGATCATTAGTTGCCAATAGAGACCTCCCACCAGTACCACAACCCTGTGACAAAATAAATAAATAAATACTCAACCGCATGTTAGCATTGTGTTAATACTAGCTCCAGTCAGTAGAAACATTTAGTTATGGTGAGTTTTTTTTTTAATTCAATGGGATTGACAACAATTATTAAGGACTTACAAAACGTGAGACACACTTGTCATTATTAAAAATTAGGGGACACAATTTTGGCACCATGAATAATTTCGTTTTTCGCCCCTCAGCACAAGTATCAAGATGCATACCATAAAATACAAACAAGAAACACTACCACTGGTCTTGAATATGAAGGTCTCACATACAAATATCTTAAATAGCACCTAACTGTAAAACAAACCTATATCACCCCCTTATACAAAAAATCACACCACAAAATTCATTAATCATACCATAAAACTTAAAACAAATTACAAGTTTTCTGAACAAAAACATAAGTTTTATTAAGCAGACCACAAGTTTATTGAAGCATACCATAAGCTCCTTGAAGCAGGCCAAAAACCTCATAAAGCATACAACAAATTTATTAAATCATACCACAAGTTTCTTAAAGTATACAAAATATCTTATAAAGCAGATCCCAAGTTTACTAAAGAAGATAACAAGTTTTATGTAGTAGATCAGAAACCACCTAAAGCAGACTAGAAACCTCATATGCCTGCACCTATTTGTAAATTTTTAAAATGTAGGTATCAAAATGTAAGGCATAAAAAATTTTAGTTACTAAAATGTAATTTTCCATTAATATTTTTATGACTTACATGCCAAAAAGTAATTTTATGTACTAAATCTTAAAATCTATTAAGTTTAGATATCATACTGTAAATTTATATACTATAACATTCTTAATGAATTATGTCGACGTGGTGCTAACAATATCACTCTATTCGGTGCCTATCTAATATTGTCGCGCAGGTAGATTTTCGCGTCATATATAAGGAATTGTTAGAATCCAGACATTAGTTCTATCAATAAAAAAATTGCAGTATCGTCACGTCAAAAACCAATTAGTACATAATAACTAAAAATCGTTGGACTATACAACTTACACCATTCATTTAACAACAGAATGAAACAAGTGAATGTAAAAAAAGAAAAACTGAAAATAGCGGGCAAATAAATAAATAAATAAATTATATTTACGTACCACTATGAGATGGTCGTCTTCCTTGAACGTTTCCCGGATCTTGTCCACGAACTCTGGATTCTTCTCTCGCCCTGCAAAATAACAAAACTCCCGAAGAGCCAACTTAGTGCTTGCATACTGCTAGAAGGCTATCTGGCTATGGCATCGAAATACTACCTTTTGGCGTGTGGACATAGTAAGGAACATTGAAGATCTTCCGGCAAACATCATCCTCCTCCTCCGGAGAATCGGAATTGGCGGCGGCGGTGGCCGCCTCAGCAGATCTCTGATCTCTCTGCTTCCAGACCTTCCCTGCATCAGCATGTGCTGCCTTAAAATCCTCCTCCATCCTGCAGTTTTTATAAGTTCATTCAAGATCCCGTATAACGCTCTAGCTGAATTGTGTTAGTAAACGATCCACGATTGAATCTCTTCTAACAACTCGATTTATTGGGACCTAACTGGTTTACGACAGATTGGTTGGTATACACATAAACACACCTGACGTCGAGATAGACATGCCGCCCAGATTCGATTAGAGATTTGGCCGTAAGAACATCAACTGTGGGAACGGTGGCGACGACTTCTGCTCCTGAACTAGTACTGTAGTAAAATTGACACACTTAGATCATCAATTATATATATTCCCAAGCCAAATGCTGAAAAAACCGGATCATTTGGTCTGGGAAGCATTGGAGAAGATGAAAGGAAGGAACCTTTTCTCCAGAGAAGAAGAAGCCATTTCTGACGAACTCATCATCTACACTTCCAGCAAATATTTGGAGATTCTGAAGCTCCAGAGACAGGTAGAGACGGTCTCCTCTGTATTTCTAAATGAAGGAACCCATTGACTTTGTTTTTTTAAGCATTGGATAATTTGTAGTTAAGGCTAACTACTGGTATTATAATGAAAGAAATAATTTGCACAAAACGTCTTTCTTACACGTATATTTTGCCCTAATATATGCATCACAAATGCAATGATGTTATTTTACATATAATAATATTCGCTCATAGATATTCCCACAGGGGAACAACAGATACGAAGTATATAATAATATATATAACCTTTGCAGGTCAAATCACAAATGAAAAATGAGAAGACCTTTTGCAGGTCTGACAAAATAGAGTTTTCCTGCCACTATATGGGCTGCCCTATGATACCTGAACGACATAGGCAATATCATGATTTCTTTCCTTAAAGGATCAAAATCATAAACTAACCATGCTGAAAATTGAAGCAGAAAAGCAAATCCTTGTATCATGAAGACTGACACTCCCAATGAGCATCTTTACCTTCAAAATGAACAAACATAGAGACCCAAAAGCCACAAAAGAAAGCCAAATCTTGTAGATCTAACAGAGCTGAACGACATGGGTAATAAAAGGACTAGTCGATTGGTAAACGCCAACAAAATGAACAAACTAATGGGCGAGTACCGGCCCTAGCCAAAACTAATGAGAGCCCACCTACCTTGTTCGAGTAAAGCGGCCCAAAGCAATGCCAAATAATATTCGTTGGTATTCTCATTAAGTTAAGTTTATCCAGCACTATCTCATTTGGACTAGGAGAATAAACCTTATACGGGCTGGAACTAATTTTGAAACAAATATTTTTCTACTATTTAAGAGAAGTAGATTGCAGAGACGATATGTGTAGCGACAAGCGGTGAGTTGAATTTGACTAAATGAAACTGGAGAGAGAGGAAGGTTGATAGTTAATGAGATATTGGACTGTGGAAGGAGTGAAGGGATCAAATTTAGAAGATTAGGGATGAGAGAAGAACATTAAGTGATTCCAGGTTTGTTTGAAATTTTCAATTCATAGCACGCAAAATGGTGTGATATATTTCTCCTGAATTAACTTATTCATCGTATTACACAGAAGCACATAAAAGCGGAGTAAAAAAAAATACTATCTTAAGTGCTTTTGTGTGTTTCCACCGCATCCATAACCGATATTGCCTGATTTTATATACAACTACTTTTGCTTGAAAATTTAAACGTTTTGGTGACTTAAAAGACTATAAGCGCCATTTTGATTACATTGGTTAACATAACATACTAGAGTTCGTTCAAATCAAAGCCAAGGAGGTAAGTAATTGAAGAACTTCAATCTTGACCGGACCGGATTGAAGCTTGACTGGAGATTGGATAGAGAGATAGGCCATCTTTCCTGGTTTGCCAGTCGTCGAAGATGTACAACTTTACATATATGGCCTTTCGATGTAAGAAGCCAGAAAACAACCCCAAAACAAGATCTCCACAAGCACAAATGCAAGAGTTCCCCACTTCTTTGAGCGCATGACGACCTGCAATACCCACTCTGTCAGTCTGTCCCATCAACCTGAAAACAAGACATTTGTTTTTATGGTTCCCTGAAGTTAGTCCAAATCATCAATTCAAGAATCCTGTCAAATACAAAAGATTGCCATGGCTTCCTGTCAAACTGGGAAAAATACTGGCTGACACAATAATGTTGAACGATCCCTTGATGAACAATATAAGTAATATACTAACAATGCCCGCAATCACAATTCTTACCAAGTTGTTTTCGGGTGAGCCCAAGTAGAATCCTTGCACCACGGCGGGAAAAATCTCGTAGGCGGCTAAAGAGTAAACAATAAGTGCATTCATTCCCATCCACTTCATTACCAATGTTGCCTTCCGATACTCTTTTACATCAACCTGCATTAGTAAACATTTTGGGAGCTTTAATATTCTGCCTTAGTAAAAAACTTGACAACTTTATCAATATCTAGTTGTTAATAAACCTCAAAGGATTACTTGCCTAGTGATATTAGAGGATAAAATGCACCACACCATGGGGCCAACAATCATTGAAAAAACACAACATCTAGCTACTAACTTTCTTGCATTGGCCCACTTGGGGAGAAAAAAAGAGATCAAAGCCATGCAAGACCCAGCTAAAATTAGATCATAAGCCTACCGCAAAAAACATGATGCCTAGGAGTAGGCCAGATGCTCCAGCAATGACGCACAAATAGCTCAAAGTATACAAGGGTTTGGAAAGAGGAATCCCTGCGATGAGAAGAAAAGTGAAGGGGTGGATGAAGCCATTTTGGCGATGAATTTTTTAACAAATTGAATCATCAAGGGAAACAACGTACTGAGCAACACCAGCACATATCCGACAAGAACTAATGATAATGATGCTACCACCCACAACACCAACCTTTGCAGGTTGTCCTGCATCAAAGAAGCAATGGACTATCAATGTTTGATCCATCGACAAAGAAACATGAGATTATATTCTTGCAAAAAATATTATATATGCTTCATACCTTAACATGGAGAAGCACGTGTCCAAAATGCAATCCTATAAAGCTAGTAATAGAAGCCATCAAGGAACTGTCTTGTTCAAGAAACCAAGAACCACTAATTATAAATGCAAGCAACACGTGAGTTTCTTAGATCCAATAACATGGAACTCCAACAAATACAACATGCAATGATATTCAACCACATCGCAAAATTCAATAGTTCATAAAAAATTATGATTTGCATAATATATGGCAAGTATCCTTCCTAGGTAACAACAACACAGTACACATGTAAAACCATCTAGTTGTCTAACCTCAATATGCCCTCAGGGTCAAACGGAGCAAGGCACCAGTAAGGAGCTTTTGGGGGAAGAGGCCCATAATCGGGAGAATTAACACTGCATTGCTGAAGAAGCAATCACTGTTAACGGGTGTCTTAAATGAGCAGGGAAGATAGATCCAAGTGTGATAGTATAAAGAGATACAATACCTCTGTTCTGATATATAAAGGATGCTGATACATATGTTCTAACCCAAGCAAAACTCGATTAACAAATCCAAACGCATTACAAGGAGGATCAAGGCTGCCCCTTACTCCACAATGCACCTGAAAGTTCCGAGCAGCCATCCAAATAAGTAGGACAAGATACAGAGAATATTTAATATTGAACCTAGGTTAATATCTTAAAGTAGAAACAGTAGGGGGATCAAGGAGGTTGCCATGGGTGCAGCTTCTGACAGTAGGCCTGTCAGACTGCTCCTCCAAATTCAACTTACAGTTTGAGTATATGAACAATTGTCTGAAGGAGTCACGCTTTGAAGTTCAAATGCCCAATCTGGAACAAACAGGCCATACATCAAGCACATGTAAACTGCACATACAATTAAGGCCACCATCCTGTAGAAGAGAGTGCAAGTCAAAATATGCCACCATCCTGAAGGAAAGGAAATCATCAAACACACAAAACTTTGGTTGGTGAAGAAGATACGGAGAATATAGCAGTAGATGCCGAAACCAAATATTTGTTTAAGGTAAAATACTCACAACCAGTGGCTTTTGTTTCTTGATTCAAAGTTGAGCCTATAAACACAGATTGGTCTCTAATATAAAAGCAAAATATCATAGTTCTAGTACGAACAGGTTTCATTCAGATCACTTTGTGATATGCATATAAAGGTACACAAAATAACATACAAGTATTCCAAAACCAAGCAAGCTTGCCCTTTTCTATTTCATGTCCTCCCTCTCCCTCTCTGGAGTTACTTTTTCAAGTAGTTATTAGGATAAAATCAAACCACTAAAGTATAGAACTAACCACTAAAAACGATATTTCTTCACAAATGCCATCATTGACTCAACTGCACTATTATCCACAAGCCAAATCTCTAACATCGAAGCGAACAGATAACCAAGCGATATTCTCAGCAAATGGCCAAGACAGTGTCGCTTGCATATGAAATATAAGAACCTTACATGCAAAAAGTTAGCTAAATATGAAGTGACTTGTCTCTACCACATTTAAAATGTGTTATGACTCAAGTAAACTTGAACAAAGAAGCTCTGTAAAGATCTTACCCAACTATTTTTTGTGATAATGAGGAAGCATTTTATTAAAGAAAGAAGAGACAAAACAACATACAAATGACACAACAAGGACATACACAATCTAATTCTTAAGATACGAGGCTATGACTGAAGTCAAAGAGATCTTCAGCCTAACTATTAACCAATTAAGGATCGTTACCTGTAGCATCCCAAGCCAACGAATCTTCCTCACATTGACTCCGTAAGTAAGATCATGACGACCATGGAAGTATCCACCTAGAAACACAACAAACTGTATAATTTGCGGTAGCATCCAATAGTGAAACTACGACATGAAAATGACGGTCCATTTTCAATGAGGCAAATCAAAGTACCTTGCAACAACACCCCTAGGACAAACAACTTGATCGTTCTCAGACGGACCTTTTTCGTTGCATCTACTCTGTTCGGAACTTTCTGCAGTAAACTTGCTCCAAATCAAGCATCAGTCACATTGCACGCTAACTGTTCGATCTTTTTTAGCAATGCCAAGGATACATCGCGCCGACAGACCAATGAGCAAACCACACTTAGGAATTAGTCTGGTTACCTTGAACACAAGACTAACGAAAACACCGACGCCGAAGAGGAAAAACGACATCACGAAATCGGGCAGCGTTACTTCGAACCACGAGGAATGATTGATCGACGGGAACACTCCTCCGGCGTCATCCACAAGAATCATCAGCTAAAAGCAACGAAATCAAACGATAACTAGAACACAGACACCCTCGAGCTGCTTGAGATTATTGAAAGAATTGATGAAGGAGAAGGTCGACGACTCACGCCAACAGTTAGACCGCGAAAGACGTCAAGAGAGACGAGGCGTTGATTTTTTGGTGGCGGCGTCGGCATCTCCTGTGGAGGAGACGTAGTGATTTCGCCGACTATAACTTGTCCGGCTGAAGGTGGGAGAAGAGGTTGGCAGTGATCGCCTTCGCCGATGATCGCCATTTGATACGATTCGAACTTTGCTGGAGTATCGGCGACCGGCGCTCACTCTGCTTTTGCTGCGGTGAAATTATTGAATGTGTTTTTAACTTTTCGAACTAATCTTCTATCTAATTATTAAAGGGCTTTTAAATTTGGGCCACTGCCACGTACTCCTCCCTGCACATTGAAGCTATCCACGTCAGTCTCCCTTTCGCACATAAAACCTTCATTTCCTTCCCTTTACAATTTCGCCGCTTTCCTTCCACCAGCGCCAGAATATGAAACTGTAACTGCCTCGCACTTGCCCTATCTCGCGCTCTTCCGCAACACCCTATCGTCGTTCTCGATGACTCGGTTGCCCACTCTATTGATTCATTTTGCTTGATTTCCTCGCTATACTCATCACTATTCTCTTGCTTCTACGACCCCAAATGCTCATGGGTGCTAGCTTTCTACTAAATCATTGATCGGGAAAGGCAGCAACGCGGTGCGGGCGAGAAGGAAAAAAAATACTAAGGCCTCAACATCTTTACAGTAATTTCGAAGCCCCATTCTTACGAGTTTTCTCAGCCTTTGTCTTGCATATTTGCTTTCTGATTAACATTTTTTGGATCATTCTCTACTTCCTCACTTCTGTTATTGATCGGGAAAGGCAACGACATGGAAAAACTGTCGGCGACTGTGGACTGAGAAGCAAATAGTCTCTTGGTAAGCCCTCAATATCGCCTCAACGATCATTCTTGAAGCCCCATTCTTACGAGTTTGTCCAACCCATGTTTTGCATGTTTGCTTCGGATCACTCTCTGCTTCCATTGTTTACAAGTTGCAGACTTATTGATTAAACACAGTCCTATATAGTGAATTAATGATCCTCGACGATTCTGTGTTGATTGTTTTGGTGGGGTTGAGTAGAAAGCGACTCTTTTGTTTGAATTGTTTGTTAGTTTGTTTACCTCTTCATTGACATTATTTCCCCTTTCTAAATTCATTATTAGCTATTGCATATGGTGAAATTTCTCAAATCTGGCTTCACTGGTTTATATTTGTTGGTGTTGTGGTAGTCTTTGACCTTAATTTACCAGTTACCGTGATGTAATTTAGAGTTTTGAATCAAAACATAGCTAACATATTCATAAACAACTGCTCATCAATCCACCATGAAACACACTCCATCATAAGTGCATAACATAGGCGGCTATTGCCTATTGAACCTTCCAGAGAAGGGAAGGGTCCTGAACTCCTAATAACCTTATGACCACTCCTACTATTTCTCCACTGTCAATCTCATTGTGGGTAATCAAGATTTAGCCCTCCTGCGTTAGTTTAGTTTCGGTTGTTTCTAATTTGACAGATTAATTGCCTTAGTAACTCTTAGTAATATCCTTTGCCTGGGCTAAAACATTTAACATGTTTTCAGTTGGTGTACTTTCCCGGTTTTGTTGTTGCCCTCATCAACTCATATACTTTCCTACAACTGAAATGGCCAAGAAAGGTAAAAGACTGATGATGCCCCAACAAAAGAACTCGACAATACAACTGGAATTCTTCCACCCAATACGTTCAAGCTTTACTTTACCACTTTATATTTTTAATTTTATACATTCTTTCCCAGATTCATATCGCTCAGATTACAAAAAAAGACTCTTTCATTCTCTCTCCATCCTCTCTCTTCGAGAAAAAGTCCGCTCTCTTCTCCACCAATAGATCCCACCTTCACTCATAACCGCCGTCTCCTTTTTCTCACCGACCGTGGATGAATTCGGTTCTTCGCAAATCTCCCCACCAGTAGCGACGAAACCTGGAACTTCCCAAATCCGCCCATTCTGACAAGACAAGAGGCAATAACCCCCCTACTACCCCCCAAATCCCGCATCAATTGCGCCTTCCTCGGCCACGTCCGGTGAGGAGTTCGCTCCGACGACATTTGCCACTGATTTGCCTCCCCCACCACTCAGAAGCCGTGTCCGACGAAGCTACGCAATCTACATCAAATTCGGCCTCATGATAATTAGGCACAGGCGGTAAATCACATCCTAAAATATTGCCCAATTAAGTTGCGGTTTTATTCTGCTACTACAATTTTCTTGCTTGCCATGGATATTCTTTTGCTACCCTTTCACATTGATTACCACCCTTCCGTCTTCTCTTTGTCCATGCCAGTTTCATAGTTAAAGTACGTAGTTGTTTAGTTAGACATTGGAGTCAAAGTAATGCAATGGTTCTTATATATGTTTGCTTGAAGAAAAGTTAGCTTGTGAACTGATTTCCATAGCACACGGTGATAATTACCTGGTGATTGCCGGTTATCTTTAGTTTTTTTTATTATCAGTTGTCGGTTCTTTTCACTTTGTTTTTTATTGGTTTTGTTGCCAGTTATTGTTATACGGAAAGAATCCAAAACAAAAATCATGGTCTCACAGTTTCAATTATTTTACTATTGCTAATATATTTTAATTAGTTTATTTGTGGTGATACAAATATTTATAGAAGTTAGTGACTTAGTGTTTATATATAAACACTTAAACAGGGATGTTTATGTATGAGTCAACCACCAAATTATAATGATTTATTTTTCAATGAATTCAATTAGTTTCATAAATTTTTCATCTAGCGATTAAAATATCATTACAAAATTAAAATTATTCTCATAATTTTTACATCACTTAAAACATATAAAAACTATAAAAATTCACAAATTGGATGATTGATGTTAGATTTTGCAATAAAGTATGCTTAATGGTTATAAATTTTCTAATTATTATTCCTATATTTTTGTTATATATAGCCATTAAGGTTAGAATCTCCTTTTTTCAACTTGAAAAGTGATGATTTTAAATACATATTTTTACAATCACTATACTTACACTACATATTCCAAAAGTACAGATAATCATAGAATTATAACTTGTAAATGATCCATAGTGACACGAAACTGTTATCGAATCGTATGCATTAGATTGTCGGAACGGAGATTGAAATGAAAACAAAAACAAAATCAACATCAGATTTACAGAGAAAAACGTAACCATCCGGATAAATCATAATCCGAATCACAAAATTCATTATATAGGCAAACAAATCGTCCTCCTTGAGTGTCTATTTGCCACCGAAATGAGCCCTTCTAGTGTGCTCTATAGCACCCATGCTATAAAAAACAAAAAAAAAAGGTGACCTGTTGAGGAGGTAACCCACTAAATGACTGGTACCATATAGTATAGGTACAAGTTTCAGCTGTACCATTGAAGAATTTGTTTCACAAAGTGTAGGTACAACTTAAAGTTGTACCATTAGTATAGGTACAATTTTTAGTTGTACCATAAAGGGATTTGTTAGAAAGTGTAGGTACAACTTAAAGTTGTACCATGGTATAGGTACAAGTTCGGGTTGCACCATAAAAGAATTTTGAAAAAGTGTAGGTACAACTTAAGGTTGTACCATTAGTATAGGTACAATTTTGAGTTGTACCATAAAGGGATTTGTTAGAAAGTGTAGGTACAACTTAAAGTTGTACCATGGTATAGGTACAAGTTTGGGTTGTACCATAAAGGGATTTGTTAGAAAGTGTAGGTACAACTTAAAGTTGTACCATGGTATAGGTACAGGTTTGGGTTGTACCATAAAAGAATTTTGAGAAAGTGTAGGTACAACATAAGGTTGTACCGTTAGTATAGGTACAATTTTTAGTTGTACCATAAAGGGATTTGTTAGAAAGTGTAGGTGCAACTTAAGGTTGTACCATTAGTATAGGTACAATTTTTAGTTGTACCATAAAGAGATTTGTTAGAAAGTGTAGGTACAACTTAAAGTTGTACCATGGTATAGGTACAAGTTTGGGTTGTACCATAGCTGGATTTGGAGAAAGTGTAGGTACAACTTAAGGTTGTACCATTAGTATAGGTACAATTTTGGGTTGTACCATAAAGGGATTTATTAGAAAGTGTAGGTACAACTTAAAGTTGTACCATAGTATAAGTACAAGTTTGGGTTGTACCATAGAAGGATTTTTAGAAAGTGTAGGTACAAATTAAAGTTGTACCATTCGTATAGGTACAAGTTTGGGTTGTACCATAAAAGGATTTATTAGAAAGTGTAGGTACAACTTAAGGTTGTACCATTAGTATAGGTACAATTTTTAGTTGTACCATAAAGGGATTTGTTAGAAAGTGTAGGTACAACTTAAAGTTGTACCATGGTATAGGTACAAGTTTGGGTTGTACCATAAAAGTTGTACCATTAGTATAGGTACAATTTTGGGTTGTACCATAAAGGGATTTATTAAATTTCCTGGGATAGTGAGAACTGCTCTTTGCATCTCACGGGACATCTCACGGCCGTGATATTTGCCTGAGGAATGAAGCACTGGTTTTTACATCTAACTTGAGTATTTTACGGTCGTGAGATTACCAGTATAAGGTGTCAGATTTCCAGTAGGAGACTTTCACCTGTTGAACTATCCCGTGTACTTATTATAATGGTGTTTCAAACAGAATGGACTTTTTTCCAGAACTTCAAACTTATGAAAAAGATGATTCATAATGTTCTCTAAACCTTGACACGAGCATTACATAGATCCATTCACAATGTTCTCTAGTAACTGTACATCATATCAGATGAGATACCCTGTTAACAAAAAGTGAAACGCAGTCAAAGCATTACATTTGTCTAATAAAACAAGCATCCATAACACGATTAAATCTGTCTAATTAATGCTTAAGTTTAGCTGCATGTAGCCCACACTAGTGCATCATCATATTCTAATTGGAAAACATACAAGCACAAACGCAAACACACATAGGTAAGTACTAAGGACTTTTGTTGGATCATCTTCACTGCCCATCTTCCTCGTCAGTGCTCTCGTCCTCGTCTTCGTTTTGCTGGATTTGCTCATCTTCATTGTCCTCGCTAGAGTCACTGCCCTCTTCCTCAATGGTCCCTTTGTCCTCTTGATTTCTTTCCTTGTTTTGTTCATTGCCATTGTCCTCGTCGTCCTCTTCACTGCCCTCTTCCTCATTGGTCTCTTTGTCCTCTTGATTTCTTTCCTTGTTTTGTTCATTGCCATTGCCCTCGTCGTCCTCCTCTTCACTGCCATTTTCCTCATTGGTCCCTTTGTCCTCTTGATTTCTTTCCTTGTTTTGATCATCGCCATTGCCCTCGTCTTCCTCTTCACTGCCCTCTTCCTCCTCTTCACTGCCCTCTTCCTCATTGGTCCCTTTGTCCTCTTGATTTGTTTCCTTATTTTGTTCATCGTTGTTGCCCTCGTCGTCCTCCTCTTCACTTCCCTTTTCCTCATTGGTCCCTTTGTCCTCTTGATTTATTGCCTTGTTTTGTTCATCGCCGTTTCCCTCGTCGTCCTCTTCACTGCCCTCTTCCTCATCGGTCCCTTTGTCCTCTTGATTTATTTCCTTGTTTTGTTCATCGTCGTTGCCCTCGTCGTCCTCTTCACTTCCCTCTTCATTGCTTTCCTCGGTTGGCCTAGGAGATAGTTCCCAAGGTGTTGAGAATTTTTTGTAGTCAATCCTCAAGGACCTCATGATGTGATGGTTGCATTTGATGATGTAGCGTCGAGCTTCCTTTTCTCGATCGAGGCGGGAGAGAATGAGTGCATTTTGCTCGAGAATTTGGGCATTCTGCCGACCCAATGCCTCAAAATGGGAAATGTATCTGTCGGTGGATGGTCCGGCTTGAGTCGTAGTTTGGTGATGTTGTGCAGGTTGTTGCGGGGACTCCTCGACCATTTGCTGAACAACATGCTCCGATGCGTTTGCCTCATCTGTTGCAAGAGGTGGAGCAGGATGAGGGAGGCCAACAATGCCTACCACACCATTCTCCTTAACCACCAAACCCAGACATGATCAATATCAGAAGCATTAGTTACATTTGCTCAATGTTCAAAAGGAACTAGATTAGTAGGCAATCCAAAACTTGCACAAAATCAATCCTAGATTGTTTGAATCCCGACTAGTTCTGTTTTAGCATTCACTGTGAAAAGGAAAGTGTTGGTTGGAACATTTACCTTTGACAACAAATATAGATCCGCAAGGTTTTTTTGGGAGATTGGTTGAGTGGACTGGGCAATGGTGCAATGAGAACCCACCGGATCAATGCCAAAATGCCGAGCTAGCCTTGTGATGTAGGCACCTCCATGGATGGTCTTGATTTGTTTGTTGGAGGTCATCTTATGTAGGGTTTTCAGTATGACTAAACCAAGATGAATTGGGGGATCTTTTACCATAGAGAGGAAAAAGTTCAAATCCCGCTTGGTCACACTCCCCGGGCTCCCCTCCCTAGCTGCCACAGAATGAGCGATAATGTTGTGGATGATACGCCATGGGGGAAGAAGATCATTCCCTTTATAGTGGGCAGTGTCAGACTTGTCCACATGGTTTTGTTTTACCCATGGACCAGGAAACCGGATCGTACCGGCCGGTTCGACCGGTAAAACCGGGAACCGGACCAGGGACGATACGGCAGGCTGGTTGCGGGAAGATTACCGTGCCGCCCGGTTTTGCTGGTTTAACCGGCACAAAACAAAAAACCGCCCGGTTTTGGTCTAACCGGCGGTAAGCTGTATGACAGTCAGACTACGTCGTTTTTGGCACATAAAAAACGAGACCGGCCGCCTGCAACCGGCGACCCCGCTCCGCCGCTCCTCATCTCATCTGGCCGCCTGCAACCGGCGACCCGAGACTGGCGCGCGAAAGTGACACCCGCAACTGGCGCAAACCTGGGTCCTGCTCCGCGATCGGCGTTCATCTTCTCTGGCGAGTGGCGACCAACGAAAGGAGATCCGCCGCCACGCTGCTCAGCTCCACCGCTCTGTCGCTCCTCCGTCCTCAGCCGGCGCGCCTCGCCTCTCCCTCTCCTGCTCCTCAGCCGGGCGCCGGCACGCTCCTCTGCCCTCCCTCTCAGGTCTCATCACCCCATCGACGCCGCTCTTTGCCATTCCATAGGCAGATCCACGCATGCAACAAGATGAGGGCTCGTTATGTTTTTCAAGACAAAAGAAGAAGAAGAAAGAACGAGAGAGAAGCAGATATGGCCTCTCCTTCTCCTTGTTGATCTATCGATTCTCTCAAGAATTGAAGGCGAAGAAGAAGAAAGAACGAGAGAGAAGCAGAGGCAGAGTTGTGTTGTGGGCTTGTGGCTGATGTTAGTTGTTGGGAGAGAGAGAAATCATTATCTCAATTAATTGGAGTCAATAAAAATAAATTTAATTGGAGTCCCACTCCAAATTCTCATACCAAGAATTTCAAACGTCTTTCTAGAAAAGTCCACTTAATGGGCTATGTTTTTTTTTTCAATGTGCAATAATGTTTTTCTTATAAAATACTAGTATCATCTGTAAACCGAATAACTTAGTGTCATGTAAAAAATAGATATGTACTATATTTTAAATTTTGGGTATTTGGTATGAACATTATTTATATACAAAATAAAGTTATTAATTTTATTATATGTTTAGTCCCTGCAATATGAAGTTGTTTTATTATATACCTATAACTTTTATGTTGATATTTTATTATTTTATATCCGGTATATTCGATATTATTCCGGTTTTACCCGGAACGGTACTCTGATTTTGCCGACACGGTTTTTTGACAAAAAATATATTTTATTATTACAAAAACGGTATTTACCGGTACAAAACGGTTCAACCACGGTCGTACCACAAAATACCATACCAGAAAGGAATCCGGTATGATGTCCGGTACGGTTTCCTTTACCATGGTTTTACCCTTTTCCACATAGCATCGACCAATTGTGCTCTTGGTGAATATACTTTCTCTGAAATCAAACCATGACCTGTAGTGAGAAATCCTGGTGGGTATATCTGGAGTGCCTCTGTGAACTCAGTGATGCTCATCTGTCTCGCCTGTCCTCCAAGGCGAAAAGTTATGTTGTCTTCGGGCTTGTCGAGGTGAAATTCGCACATAAACTTGATGGAGAGAGTGCTGAGGAACTCAATGGTAAGCTCTCGGTAGATGACCTCATTGATGGAGAGAACCTCACACCATGCCGGGAGACGGAGGCATGTGCGAACGGGTCCGCTGCTCCGAGGCGCTCTAGGAGATCCCAATCAATGCATCTTTGCTGCCCAAATGGGAGGGGAAGGAAGCGCTCTAAAGCCCTCCTATGTTTGTCGGGTAATTGGAGGAAGCCGTGAAGTCCCCCTCCTCCAAGTTGAGCCTCCGTTTGTGGTGGTGGAGATGGTTGACGTGCTCGTCCTTGGTTGTTTTTGCGTTTTCGTTTGGGGGGAGTGTCTCGTTCTTGGGTTTGGCGGCGACGACGATAAGTAGCCTTCACTTTAGCAGGTGAGGCTGATGGTTGCGTGGTTTTTTGTTTAGCTTTCCCCATTCCTACAAAAACCAACTAAGCACATTAAGTCTTTAGTGAATGAGAGGGAAAAGAATTATGCATAAGCATATGCAATTCACAAAGAGACGTCTACACCCTAAAAAAATGCAACAAACCAGGAGCATTCTAATCACAATTAGGAATTCAAAACCCTAATTCAGACCAACCAGGAGCATTCTAATCCCAGGAGCATTCTAATCACAATTAGGAATTCAAAACCCTATAAACAGAACAATAACATAATATACTGTTTGTGGAAACTACAAGCTTATGAAAAGATACTGGAAGATATAGACTTACAGACTTCTCCCTTGACGTCTCTTTGAGTATTCCATCCTCTTCGATCTCCACGTTTGTAACTCCCCTTGGAGCTGGGGTGATACCGGACAGATCAAACTTTCCTAGCTAGATGCAACCTTGGTCAGGGGTTTTGCATCCCTCCCACTCAAAACCTCTCTCTATGTATTTCGATCTCTCTGTATTTCAATCACTCTCTGTATTTCGATCTCCATCTCTTTGTTGCATTCCTTTTCCAAGGATTGTATCGAGCTAGGAAAGTTTGTTCTCCTTGCTTTCTTCCTTAGAGATCGATGAGGTGGAATACTCAATGTGACGTCAAGGTAGATGATCCCTGGAGCATTTCAATCACGTCTAAACCATCATGATCAGTCAGAACCATGTCAATGCTCTACACAAACCAATTGCTGGAGATAATAGAAAGCAGCAACAGCCTCGCATTACCAATTACAACCCTAGCGGTACCAAAGACAGTACAGGCTACAGCTTATACCAGCTTCAGCTCCTCATTACCTAAACATAATCAACAGACTACCAGCGTACCAGCGAAAAATCTCAGATCCAATCGCATGGCTTAAGCAAATCATAAAGAGTTGAAAAGAGCAGAATGAGTGGGGAAGGGATGATAAGGAACTGACCACTCAGGAGCATTCTAATCACAATTAGGAATTCAAAACCCTAATTCAGACCAACCAGGAGCATTCTAATCACAATTAGGAATTCAAAACCCTAATTCAGACCAACCTTGGGCAACTAAACCCTAAAAAATGCAAGAAACCAGAGAAGATGGCCGCTGTGGTTAAGAAGAACTCACGAAGTGGAACAGAGGGCAGAGACTCGTGGGGAAATGGTCGCCGTCGCCGCTGAACCTTGGAGCAGTTACCAGAGGAGTCGTGGGGAAGTGGTCGGCGGCGGAAGAATCTTCGAGGGCGAGCGAGCGAGTGCGACCGATCGAGGGCGATGGCGAGCGAGTGAGGGCGAGGCTTGGGGGGTCGAAGTGCGATGGCGAGCGAGTGAGAACAGAGGGAGTACAGGGTTGGGGGTCGGGGGAGAAGAGGCTTGGGGAGAAGAGGGTTCGGGGTCGAAGTAAAACAGAGGGTTGGGGGTCGGGTTCAAGTAGAAAAGAGGAATTTAAAACAGGGTGTTTCCAATTTGCTGCATTCCATCTCACGGTTTTTCTCCCGGGCGGGATATAAACCGTGAAACTCCCTGTCCGTTACAATTTTTTTAAAAACATTCTAACGGCTTTTTTTCCCGGGCGGGATATAACCCGTGAAACCCCCTGGAAGTTACAAATTTTAAAAAGAATTCTAACGGCATATCTCCCGGCCGTGAGGTTCCAGTTATGAGGCGTGGTTTTGGGTTTCAACTGTGACCATCTCACGGGTTTATCTCACGCCCGTGAGATTAACAGATGAGCCGTGAGAAGTTCAGCATTTCAATTGCACAAACACGGCTCATCTCACGGCCGTGATACTGGCGAGACCAACCCGTGAAACCCCCTGGAAGTCCCCCCCCTTTTTCAAAAAAATCTAACGGCTCATCTCACGGCTTATTGTCCCGGGCGGGATATAACCCGTGAAACCCCCTGGAAGTTACAAATTTTAAAAAGAATTCTAACGGCATATCTCCCGGCCGTGAGGTTCCAGTTATGAGGCGTGGTTTAGGGTTTCAACTGTGACCATCTCACGGCCTCTCTCACGGTTACTCTCACGGCCGTGATATTTTCAAAATTTCAAATCCAAAAATCACGCATGCTTTCACGGCCGTGAGATTTCCGGAATTGGCCTGCACAGACATTCATAATATACTGTTTTTGAAAACTACAAGCTTATGAAAAGATGAGTCATAATGTTCTTTGAAGCTAGACACAAGCATTACATAGATCCATTCAATGTCACTAGATACTAACTTGTACAAAACAAACATGACAAGATGAAACATAATGTTGTTTGAAGCCGAACACCAGCATTACAGGTTGTGCTTGGATCGTTTGGGAAGTAGAACAGATTCTTGAGTCTCCACATGAAAGCTGCTTTCACCTGCTCCTATGGACTCGAAGTTGTATTCTTGTTGCGTGAAATGACTATCACCTGCACCTGCTTCAGCCATTCTTTTCAGCGGACAATTTCTGATTGTATGTTTAGGACGCCTACAATACTTGCACAACCGTGTTTTCACTTGAGGTTGCTTCACATTCCCTTTACTTCGAACTGGATGGGGGTCCTTAATAAACTGAGAGGAGTTCACTCCAGCATCCGTAGTAGCATTATTTGTTTTGTTGGTTGTTTCTTCACTTATTGTCTTCACTCGCAAGGTCAAGTCTTCAATCAACCCTTTGGCAGTATGAAATGCTTCATCCGAACTCACAGCATAATGGCACATTCTACTACATTGACCAACCAAGAATCCAAACCTGTCCAAATAAACAAGCAATTTTGTAGTTGGTTCCTAGCACAATAGAAGTAAACAAAGAACTAAATCAACAGCTTAAATTTATAATACCTGCTAATATTTTGCTGGGTAGGACAGCTTCCCATACTCGAGGGATCGAACTCTTTTGCATCTTTAGTCCAACGCTTCAAAATGAGTGACTTTGGAATTTGTATTTGATTTTCTGCTTTCAATATACAGAATATATGCCGACATGGAATTCCGCAGAACTCAAAAATGCCACAAGAACAATGCACATCATGTCCACTCGTGTAAAAGACCACAGTGCACTTTGAGTCAGGGTATTTGAATCGTGACAATGTGTAAATTGTTTTATTGGTCAACACACACTTGTCTGTAATATAGTAATGAACTTCTCTCGCTATTTCTGCTCGGACGCTCCTGAACACATTTCTTGTATATACTATAGAGGCATGTCTTTCAATTTCATGTAAATGTGTCATCAAAACAACATCAGTATGTATTGTCTTAAACTGGTCATGTAACTCAGTTTGTCTCCTATACAAAAGTGCCATGTCAAACTGCTTGACAAACTCAAACAACTTCATCTTACTTTGCAAGAATTTGTCTAGATAAGAGTTCATGCTCTCACAACGTTGTGACGTAGTCATCCCAGCAAAGAAAATACCTTTCAAGTAAGTTGTGGCCCATAGAGCTCGTCGCCTATACATCTTCTTCATCCACGCATTGTGCTCCAGGTCATACTTGGACAAAATTTCCTTCCACGTAGCTTCAAATTGTGGAATAGAACTGCAGTTTAGCATGCATCGTTTGAAATCCTCCCGGAAGCCTTCCGCATGGCCACGCGCTTCTGCGTTATTGCCCAAGTGCCAAGAACATAACCGATGTCGGGATCCAGGGAGAACCGACTTGATAGCTTTCCTCATTGAAGAACAACCATCTGTTATAACTGCGGTTGGCTTCTTACCACCCATGCAATGTAAAAAAGCATTTAGAATCCATACGTAGTTCTCCGCCATTTCATCCGCAAGTAAAGCACATGCAAAAACAGTGCTTGCATTGTGATTATTCACACCAATGAATAGAAGAAATGGAAGATTATATGCATTAGTTTTGTACGTCGAGTCAAAAACAAGAACATCTCCAAAGAGACTATAATCCAATTGTGAAGAAGAGTCAGCCCATAACATATTGCCTAGTTCACCACCATCACTTACTGTATATCTACAATAAAAACGAGGATCGGTAGTTGCCCGTGCTTGTAAGTAGGCAAGTGCAGCTTCACTATCACTATCCAAGATCTCCGACCTCCGATCCGCACTAACAAAATTGTAGACATCGGTCTTAGTGAAACCCAAGTTCTGAAAGCTTCTCGCACAATTCACTAGATAATCCATTATTTGATTGGTGCGAATACCAGCAGCCCTAAGTGATCGAATCTGAGCCTTACTTGCGTCATCTACCTTGCGATGAGAACTCAAAAACTGCACTTCATGTGCTCCAGCTAAGTGATGAAAATGTGTTGGTATAAACTGTTTCACCTTGAATCGGTTAGTTGCCTCAACAAAACTGACTTTGAAAGCTGCCGGACAATGGAGCCTTGTTACAGGCCTAGGTTCACGCTTTCTGTTCTCCTTGTCATTGTGCACTGGTTGACGCTCCCCCTCGCGTGAGCAAACCCATCGCTGCATATTTTTAACTCCATATTTTGAAAATGTGTGAGTGTTCTTCCGTACGCTGAATCCCATGGCACAACCATAAGTTGAATAGAACTTGGCAGCCTCCACAAGGGTTTCAAACTCATAACCCACAACATCATCCGACTCCCATTTAGAATATGGCTTACCATTCCCGACTTTATCAAGCAAGGTCCAGTCATACATACTCGAGTACGGTGGAGCCATGGCTGGATTTGCAGCATCTTTGTGTAGAGGTGCATCTGAGCTGTGTGGCTGTGTTTCGAAGCTGTGCAAATGCTCATCTGAGATGTTCTCTTTATCATCATCACCAAAGTTAGTGTTATTATCATCCTCAGAATCACTATCGGTGGTGTCGACATTGTCCTCCATATCGTCACTATCTCTAACACCACCGGTATCATCTCCATAATCCATTCCCCAATCTAAACCAACATTCAAGTCAATTCCCGTGTCCTTGCCTGTGCTCATATCATCCATCAACCCTTCCATAGTTGATCAACTGAAAACAAGCAACAAAATAAAGTTTAGAGACAATTGAAATCCACATATTCACCACCCACAACCGACCGAATGAATTGAAACAAACACGAGGCAAGACCGAGTTAAGCAACCATAGTTTCCCCTTCACTTCTGCGACAAACCAAACATTCATAAATGAAAGAAACCATAGCCTAAACCGTACTCCATACCAAGAAGAACCCATAAGTCCCTGATTTCTCAAAAGAACCCAAAGTCCGGCGAAACCCATAAGTTTCCCAAGAGAACCCGTGAGTGCAAATAGAAATCGAAAATGAAGCAACTAGAACCGCACAAATCTGGACGAAAACCAACAATTTCCCAAAAAACCCCGTGGAACCCTAAATCCGCACAAATCTGAGGCTACTAGAAGCGCAAAACACACAGGTAAAGCAGGAGAAGAGGTTATCGTACTTGACGGAGAGTGATGGAGAGCGGTCTGCGGGTCTTCGGCGGCTGACGAAGGATGGGCGAATAAAGGAGAATGGAAAATCGATGGTTGCGTAGAGAAGGGAAGACGAAGGAAGGGAGATAGGAAGCAGGAAGGAAGAAATCGACAGGGAGGGAAGCAGGAAGGAAGAAATCGATGGTTTCGTAATAAGGAGGAGAAGGAAGGAAGAAGGAAGGAAGAAGTCGACAGGGAGGAACCGAGGATCAGTCCTCTAGCGCCGACGAAGGAGGAGAAGGGAGAAACGGCATCACGACGGTGAGGGTTTAGGAACTAGGAATTTCTTCATTATGACCGACCCAAAAATTCATCGGTTTACAATTACATGGGTTGAACCCAATAACCATAATCAAATACTCACTAAACCATATATCACCAACCAATCTCACTAAACCATCGGTTTACAATTACATGGGTTCAACCCAAAACTGATAACCAAACGCTCATTCAACCATATACCTAACCTCAATCTCACATCGGTTTACAATTACAGGGGTTGAACCCAAAACCGATAATCAAACACTCATTCAACCATATATCACCAACCAATCTCACATCGGTTCACAATTACATGGAGTTCAACCCAAAAACCGTAATCAAACACTCACTAAACCATATATCATCAACCAATCTCACATCGGTTCACAATTACATGGAGTTCAACCCAAAAACCGTAATCAAACACTCACTAAACCATATATCATCAACCAATCTCACATCGGTTCACAATTACATGGGGTTCAACCCTAAAACCGTAATCAAACACTCACTAAACCATATATCATCAACCAATCTCACATCGGTTTACAATTACATGGGTTCAACCCAAAACTGATAACCAAACGCTCAATCAACCATATACCTAACCTCAATCTCACATCGGTTTACAATTACAGGGGTTGAACCCAAAACCGATAATCAAACACTCATTCAACCATATACCTAACATCAATCTCACATCGGTTCACAATTACATGGGTTCAACCCAAAACTGATAACCAAACGCTCATTCAACCATATACCTAACCTCAATCTCACATCAGTTCACAATTACAGGGGTTGAACCCAAAACCGATAATCAAACACTCATTCAACCATATACCTAACATCAATCTCACATTGGGCCACAATTACATGGGTTCAACCCAAAACCGATAACCAAACGCTCATTCAACCATATACCAAACATCAATCTCACATCGGTTTACAATTACATGGGTTGAACCCAAAACCGATAATCAAACACTCATTCAACCATATACCTAACATCAATCTCACATTGGGCCACAATTACATGGGTTCAACCCAAAACCGATAACCAAACGCTCATTCAACCATATACCAAACATCAATCTCACATCGGTTTACAATTACATGGGTTGAACCCAAAACCGATAATCAAACACTCATTCAACCATATACCTAACATCAATCTCACATCGGGCCACAATTACATGGGTTCAACCCAAAACCGATAACCAAACACTCATTCAACCATATACCTAACATCAATCTCACATCAGTTCACAATTACAGGGGTTGTACCCAAAACCGATAATCAAACGCTCATTCAACCAAATACCTAACATCAATCTCACATCGGTTCACAATTACATGGGTTCAACCCAAAATTGATAACCAAACGCTCATTCAACCATATACCTAACATCAATCTCACATCGGGCCACAATTACATGGGTTGAACCCAAAACCGATAATCAAACGCTCATTCAACCATATACCTAAACTCAATCTCACATCGGTTTACAATTACATGGGTTGAACCAAAAACCGATAATCAAACGCTCATTCAACCATATGTACTAAAAGGGAAACGAACAATCAACTTTACAAAATATGTTAAGTAGTCTGACTGGTTAGTGAGCTGAATTATTATGCCAAGTGCTCGGGTTCGAACCTTCCAAATGACGTTTTTTTCACTAACTCACAGCAGCCCACAATCTCACGGGTGTGAGATTGTTCTCTCAAGACCGTGAGGTTCTCTGGACATTAGGGAATGATTTGTTGATTCTCACGGCCCCGTCTCACGGGCGTGAGATTGCCATCATTAAGGTGTCACAGAAATCCCATCTCACGTCCCAGTCTCACGGGCGTGAAAGATTCATCCTGCATCAGAGACACTGAGAAATTACCATCTCACGGCCGTGAAAATGAATTATTGAGGCCGTGAAAAAGCCTGCTGGCAGGGTGAATAAGGTCCATTTTCAACCATTTTTCGTTATATGATCATTCATAACTTCTTCCTTGTGGACACATTAAACATAATATAGAGAAAACATAACATCACTGAATAATGCTTCATTCATAACTTCATTGTAATTTCAACAGTTTCCTAAACTTCAA